GTACATATGCCTTTTATCAAATTGTAAATAGGAACATCTTATTCCTGTTTTATAGAAAATGATATTCATTAACTTACATGCAATTTTCAACAATATCACCCAATGCTTCGATTGCAGCTGCTTTTTCTTCGACATGAGCATTTTCAATAGTCATTCTAATAAATTAGAATTTTGTAATAATATTCAAATATAAATCATTTCATTTACCCTTCATCTGCAAGCTCATCATCATCATTATCTCCTTCTTCTTCTTCTTCTTCGTCAGCTTTTACTTCAATATGTGATGTACTATCAATTTCTTCTTCATCAACCCATTCTAATTTACGATTTTCTGTTGCTGCAGCATCCTACATAAAAAAAAAAAAGAAAAGAAATTTTCTATTTTAACTTACAAAAGAAATCATTTTTACTTCAATCCAATCAAGTGATCGAAGAGATTCAAATATATATCCCATAATTTTACTAATATGAGTCGTATTAAATTCATTTTTCAATACTCGACTAGCTGCTCCACCAAGAGCAAATCTAAATAAAAAAAAGAAACAATACCAAAAAAAAACAAACAAAAGAAGTTCCTCTCTTTTTATATTTTCATTTGCTTACATAGCTGAACGAAATTCAGGTTCATCAATTTCACTATATAAATTAAGTGAAAATTCTAATGCTTGTAATAAAATTGTTTTACAATGATCAGTTCCAACTGCACGACAAAGTGAAGCAAGTGTATCTTAATACAATTTAATTATATCAAAATATATTACAATTCTTAAAAAAATTCTTACTAAGTGATGTGCAAAATACCGGTAATGTTTCTGTATTTGGTTTTTGACTTAGATTAGGTGAAAGTTGAGTTATAACTGTATCAAGATATGGAGCAAATTTATCTTTCATAACAATTGCTAAAATATGAAATAAAAATTTTCAAATAAAATAATATTTATTAAAATATTTATACCAATAGCTGGATAAACAGCCAATACTAATTCTCGAACTTTTGTATTTGTTGTTGAAGAATGTACATGAAATAGAACTCGAAGAACATCATGAATTGAATTTTTATGTTCATCATCTAAAATTTTAATAATTAATGATTAATTAAAATTAAACTATTGTCTTTTTATCTTACTTAAAACTCCAATAAGTTCTTCAACAGCATAATAAATTCGTATAACTTTAAGATTATGATTTTGCATATTTTCTGATTTAACCATAAGTTCCATTAGAATAGGTAAAATTTCTACTGAATATTTTGAAATTTCACCCTATCAAAAAAAAAAACAAAAAAAGAAATTGAAAATTCCATACAAAAAATCAAAAAATTTTACTTCTAATACAGCACATGTTTCACCTAATGCTAGAAGAGCTGCACTTGATACATCGGAATTTACATCTTGTAGACCAATTTTAAGTGCTGTCATAAATGGTTCAAGATAACTACAAAATTTTATAAAAAAATCGAAAAATAATAATCATAGAAATTTTTTTTTGTACTTGTTATTAATATAATCACAACAACCATCAATGATACCCGAAAGAACATAATAAGCAGCTTTACGTTCATTTGCAACGTTACTTTTTAACAGCGGTTCAATTTGAGAAATCTATAAAAACTTTTTTCGTAACAAAAAAAAATTTTTTTTTTATTTAAAAAAAAACTAACCACTAATGGTACAAATTTTTCTGGTGATAAATGATAAGACATAGCTTCAAGTACATGATTAGCACCAGCAACGACAACAGGTTCATCATTATCATCATCATTACCATCATCAGAAATATTATTTGTATCAATATTTGCTGAACTAATTATTTGAAGTAATGCTTGAATTATTGGTGGGAGTATTGTTTGATGTTTTAATAAAGTTTTTTTCTTTTGTCGACATATTTCAGCTAATATACTTAAAGCATTATAACGTACTGATTCAAGAATAGTATTATCATCTCTTAAAGCAACCTATAAATAAATAATTCAATAGAAAGAAAAGGATCCTATTGAATAAGATGACCATCCTTCATTTGAAAAGCTATCTATACTCTTCTGTACAGCAACTCGTAGCGCATCGAATGATATGTATATATAGGAAGTTGTATTTTCACATACTGAATAATCATATGCCAATTAAGAGACATTGTAACGATTGTGAGTAATATAATCGAATGTTATGACTTAGTATGTCTTCAAAACAATCTATATCAAGTTTCGTTCTAAGTTATTTTAATAGAGTTTAATCTGATCTTCAATCATTACCGTCAAACTCTATAAGTATACCAATCAGTGTGCGTCATTGTCAAATCGATCAATCAATACCTAAACAATGTCAAATTTTCAATTCCTACGGACAGAAAAGTATATAAATACTTTTTGAAAGAAAAATTTTCTATGTATTAATAATAAATTCATCATGTCCTATCATTTGATATATATGGATCTTTCGAAGATGGTAAAAAAATTTTTGCTATTGAACCCCGAGAGAGAATATGCGAAATTTTTGATTTTCATAAGAGATCGAACATATATTGAATGTAACAGATCCATTTACGTTAAATGATGCATTTATTATTTTTAGACATTGATTAGCTGGATAGCGCACACAATAAATGAGAAAGTTGCATGGTTGGTCGCCTTTGCTATGGAGGAGCAGTATCGAAGTTCGATGTATCAATGAGTTGCTCTATATAAGTAGCTTTTCAAATGAAGGATGGTTATCTTATTCGAAAGAGTCTTTTAATTAAATATTACTTGAAGACAAGTTGAAATAATACTTTGAAGATGCGTTCCAATAACATTTGGTACTTCACAATCAAGTAATGCTTCATAAAAATCCAAGAGATTTGTTGTATTTTCAGCCTAATAAAATTCGATTAAGTAAAACAAAACAAAAACGAATATAATGGATGATGCAATTTTTTAATTACCTTAAGATTAACAAAAAGATATTGTATAGTTTCATTAGCAATTGGTATAAGATCAACAATTGTTTGTACATATTGTTTTTGTTGAAGTACTTTAACAAGATTTGTTAAAATAATTAAAGCTTGTTCACAAACAATTATTGATGGTCGTGTTTTTAACATTGTTGATATAAGATTAAATGTATGTGGCCAATGTTCAAGTACAAATCGACCACAATATGTAGCTAATGTTGCAAATAGATACATACCTAATTCAAGTTGTTTTAAATCTGTTGATTGAACAAGTGTACCACATAAATGAAGATATTCTTTCCAACCAGTTATTTCAATTTTATGTTGTTTTTTTAATTTTTTTTTAATTTTTTCATTAATTTCATGTTGTAAATCTTGTTTAGCTATTGTACCAATTAATTCAAATAATGATTTACGTATACGTTGATTTGTTTCAATTTGTATTTGTTCAAGTAAAAGATGTTTTAATGTTTCATGAATATCTTTTGAAATTGTTGTTGATGATTTAGATAATTTACGTCGAAGTAATACAGATGCTAATATACGTATTTGTTCATTTTGTTCAGAACGTAATATATGAAATAATTGTAGAAGAAAATCATTTGTTAATGAAAGACTTTGTAATTGTTTTGTTGCTTGTTTAACTTTTTCAGTATCTGGTTCAGTTAATTGTTTAAGCCAATGAACAACTATTGTTGATTCCATAATGTTTTTTGTTATCTAGAAAAGTCAAATATTCTAAATTTCAAGATGATATAATGACAATGATTCATTTTATAATCAAATCTGATACTTTCAAGACAAAAGATAGTAATCAGAAGTATGCCGAGCGAAGAGCATAGGTAATCTCAAAATTTTGTGAACCCTACCTTCTCAGTAGTCATCTTGAGGCATCTCGGATATGAATAGAATATTCAAAGCTATCTGCGATCGGATGAAGGGGATGTACTTGTCGTTTTATTGATACAGAATTAACAATACTAGAAAAATTGTATAAGTTTTCGTTCCAATGAGCATTTCCTATAGGGTTATGACCGTGTGATAGAATTAGTATCACAAACAAAATTTATTTAAAAATCGTCTTTTTTTCGTTTTTTGTGATGTTTGTAATTTTGTAAGAGAAGATCGAAGAAATTAATTTGAGCTAGGTACTTAACACTATAGAAAAATATAAAAAATACTTTGCTGTTAAACTTTTCTTCTACCATCCTATGCTGCTTGTTTTTTTTTTTGAGTATTCAGTATGGAGAGAAGGAATCATCTGATTTAACTGGAACTTTCAGGACATTTCAAGGATTATAAAATCTATTTGTAAGTAAAAGCTAAGATGAAAATTTCTTGTTTTTTATTTTTCTATGAATACCTTGCCATAAACTGAAAATCCAATAAAATAGCCATAGCTCCATACGAAATGTCTATGGGAACAAATTCTTTTTTCGGCTTTTTCTAATCTCATTAAATCCTACTTCTGGATAATATAGGCAATAGGAGATAATATTTGTTTAAATAACGAATAAGAAATTCGCTATTCATCTCAGTTTTTGTGTTAATTTTACTTTTGGTTTTATTCATCTATCATATCGTTTCATTGTTAATGATAATGAACTAGAATTTTTAATATATTTTTATAGAAATAATTTTCATAATTCTAATAAAAAAAAGAAAACATTGTCTTAAAGAAATTAAACATTGAATCATAAATAGTTCACTTTTTTTTCCCTGATTAAAATTTATCAAAAATCGCCTATAAAGAAAAAAAAACCCAATATCACATAAAATAAAACACTGCCAAGCATTTGCTATTAATTTATATTTAATACAAAAAAAAATTTACTAATCAGTTATTTTTGATTTAATTAGAAATATTCCACATGATAGGATACCACTAAGTGCTTGTTCAACATCACTAACATATGTTTGTAGTTCAGCACTTGGTGCTCTTGAACCTTAAGTTGAATAAAAATCAATGTGTTTTTTTTTCTAAACAAAACAAAAACGAATAAATAAATAGTTTACCGATTGTAATAGCTCATCCTTTTAAAACTTTATTTATTAATTTTAAACCAGTAACAATATCACATTGAACATGATATTCCTAATTGTATTCGATAAGTTTCTTCTTCTTTAATAGTTGAATATAAATTACGTATTTGTTCAATTGAACTATTGAAATTAAAACATTACATTTGGTTTATAATTTTCAAATTGAAGTCTTACACCTATTGGTAAAACAATATATAAATCATTTTTGATCAATTAATACATTTTCTATTTGTTTATCATCACTTAAGTCTTTTATAATGTGTTAAAGATTTATCATTTTCATCTTTAGTTACAATTGAACTAATATTCATTCTTTGTCGAGTTTTATAACTATGTAATGTTGAATTTTCATCATTGGAATTTTGAAGACGATGATGATGATGATGCTTTTCTTGATCATCGGATGTCATTAATATAATAAATATTAATCTATAATTTAAGAAAACAATAGAATATAAGATGCAGAGTTTTTTTTCTAAAGATAATTGTTCTTTCAATGGAAATAAAAACTGTAGGAGTTTAAGATGATTTCTTAATGTTCTAATCGTCTAGACATGAGAGATATCAGATTTTGTTCTCATTCCGGTCCAGTTGAAAAGAAAATCCTGTTTCGGTATTAGGCTTAAAATTCTCTGGAATATATCATCGAGTTTCTTCGTACAAAGTACATAAAATTGCCAAGTCACATACTAGTTTCTAAAGAATTTCTTCTTTAGAAATATTAATGAAAGCATAGTTGCCAGACGTTTTCGACAGAGAGCAAAAGTCTAAAAGCTGCCTGACATCGATTTCTGTTTAATCATAAATAAATGAAGCGAAAAACTAGTTTAAACACTTGATGTTTGCACGTTGACACATGTGCTTTCCCATAAAATATCCAGTTCGACTTTGGATATTAATATTGTGTTGTGGGCGTAAAATAAATACGTATCACATTCAGGAATATTTCCTTGGTACTAAAAATCTCTATATATATAATGGTCAGTGTCTGTATGTTTCTTTGTGCCGAGTCAAAAAAAGGCTATAAGGAAGGAAGACTATAAGCGGGTAAGACTACATGGGCTATTAGCGATATAAGGATATCACACCGTAGGGTTTCTATGTACATAATGTCAGGTGTCTGTGTGTTACTAAGTGAAAGGTTACCGTGCAGTATGCACGGATTCTTGTCAGGTATTTTCTACTACTGTCTTTAAGTTTGAATAATCTTCCTGTTATATAGCGACCCATTTAGTCCCCAATGTCTCTCTCTCCCTCTCATTGTATTTTTAATTCGATATAAACAAGATTGTTTCCATTCGTCGTCAAAAAAAGAAAGAGAATTTTGATTCCATCATCAACGAAATAAATTTTTTCATAATCTATTCTACTGATTTATCTTTCGAACTTGAAATATCCATCGATTATAAAAAATAACATTAGAAATTATCATCTTTTCTATTTCTTTATTTCTCGTTTAAACTATACAAATAATAAAAGATTTGAAAATATAATATGACACAAACAGGCAGTAATATCAATTGTTTATTTTAGTAGACAAAAAGAAAAAAAAAAAGATAAATTTCTACATTATACAAAACACCAATATTAGAAAACTGAAATGAATATAAATACTCACCGGCGAACTAAAGGAATTTTCAAATACAAATATGAACGTATACATACAAACAAAGAAAAGAAATTTTTTTTTTTATTTTATTTTTTATGTATATTTGTACGAATTTGTCTTATAGCATGATCTAATTTAGTAAAACCTTCTTCAGCTTGTTCAATAGTTTTTCTTGTTGTACCACGAAATTTTTGCATAAATGTCTGACTTCCTTCATGATCATCTTCATCACCACTTGATATTTGTTGTTGTTGTTGTTGTTGTTGATGAGAACTTTCATCTCCTCTTAATTGATATGGTTGTGAACGAACTGATGATGATGATGGTGGTTGAAGATATTCATGTGCTGTTGTTGTTGTTGTTGATGGTGTTCCACCTAATTCACGAATATTATTATAAACAGCTGTACGAACATCTTCAAGTGAATCAACAAAATGTATTATATCGTCACATTGTTTTTCATAAGATTGTTGAATTGATTGATAAACATGTATAAGATTTGAACGTTGTTTTATCCAATCATTATAATCAGTAAATACTTGAACTAAATTTGGATAACATTCATCATTAGCAAAATGAACATATTTTTCATGAAGTTCTTCAAGATTTTTTCGACGACGAAAATGTGAATCACTTTGTAAACGATTATATGTACTTAATAAACGATCCTAGAATAATTATTAAAATATTATTTATATTTATTTAAATACTAATGTTTTTTTTTTATCATTCAAGAGAGAAGACCATGAACTATCCACATATACCGAAATTCACCAATAGATCTTGGAAAACTTCAAAAAAACTCAAGACCGAGATAATTCATCATTACTATTTTAGTATTATTAAAATTTCAAAAAACTTCTTCTACATAGTATAAGAATTGAAATTTAGAAAATCTTAAAAACTGATCTCATGTCGTTTTAAAATTGAAAACAAATATCACCATTCGACTCAATATGATGAATTTTCTTGGAGTCTTCCATAGGTCATTGGCTGAAATCGAAGACCTCAGGAAAAATCCTTATAACTCTGTATTATGTTATTCTGATCAAAAGTTATTCAAAAAAAACAACAAACAGTCAAAATCATTGCTTTTTGAACACGAGAATAGATTACAAGAAGACATAGTAACATTTTCCTCAAATATAATGAGCGATCTCACATCCGACAGGACGGTTTTTGTTGGAAATGGCTCTTTTGTAGTACTAAATCTCTTCACGCAGTAGAAGACCTTTGTTAATTAATTGATTTCTCGAAAAAAAAAACCATTGTTTCTGGGCTTATTGAATTCTAAAAATTACACATTAAATCTGCAAAATTGTTTAAAGTAAAAACTATGAAAATAGAGAATCTATAATAGAAGGCGCCAGGATCTTTTATTATGGAAAAAGGGCTTGGATGCAAGTACATCTTATATATACTATTGAGATTTATTGAATACCAGAGTATTATACATATGTGAACAACACAATCATGCAGTTTAGCAGTGTCTCTCACTATCGCCAAAGCAACATGTGTGATTCGTGTTGTATGTGTTTAAATCATCTTGATGAAAATAGATGAATAAACAAGTAAATAAGCAGACCTTTACATAGGATTAATCTAGAAGCAGATATTCTAAAATCTTGATTTAATATTATAGCAAATCATGTATCACCTCTCTACATGTATAGCGAACGCTTTTGATTGTAAGCAACAAAAAAAAAATCAATAGATTCGTGTATTGACTTTTATTGTTTGTCAACTTTTTGTTCTGCTTTTTGAGTTGTTGATTGACATATTCAGGTATAGCAGACCGGGAAGTTTCCCAGTAGAACCATGCATTCTTTTAGAAAAAGAAATCTTTATACCTTCCGATGTTGACTACCTCGAAATTGAATCTATAATAGCATATGTATATCTTTAGATTTTCTTTTGTTTAAATGTACGAAAATATTCAATAATTAGCGAATCTCTCCTCTCTCATGAAGACTTTGGAAATTTTTTTTTCTTCTCTAAATCAACAACAACAAAAAAAGCGAAACAACAAGTTAAGAAAATAATGTGATAATACAAATCTCTAATCAGACCTCAATACTTTTAAGCTCTTCATTGTCTCACCAAATCCTACATGTAACATAAATATATAATCATCAAACAACGTCCGACAGTTGAAAATGTTTCTTCATGAAATATATTCAATATTAAAAATGAGATCGTAATAGTTTCTCTCGTATCTATCTAAAGAGAAAAGAAATTTCCTTATGTTATAAAGTTCGAAGACGAAAATCGGTAATACATCTGTATGGACAGATGTCTCTCTCTCTCTCTCTCTATTCAATTTCAACAGAAATCTTCAAAATCAACAATCATGGTACAAAATATTCGCTCATTTTTCGAGCCACTAAAAGACAACTAATTAGAATTCTTCGCTATTTTCGAACATATATATTCAGATTTTCATTCTGAGATAAGATTGAATAACTATTAATAAATATTTGTAAAAAAGTACAAAGCAAAATAGCGAAGAGTTCAATCAGAAGAACTACAGTTTTTTCAACATGGACTAGTGTTTTAACATGTATTAACTTATCTTCATGTTGACTTACTTTTTTAAAACTATCATTAAGATCAATTAAATCTTTAAGATATTTATCCGCACGATGAATCCATGATGCATAAGTTTTTGTATATTGTGATAACCAAAGTGTATTAGTAAATGGTGGTTGATCATCAATCATACCTAATTGACCATTAAATTCATTTTCAATTATTTCTAATATATCTTGTTCACATTTTTTTAATTGTTCATATGGTTGAAGATATGAACGTAAATAAATACGTAGACTTTGTTTAATAAGTTGAGATGGAGTTGCCGTTGATGAACGATGTGATGTAACTAATTTATTAAATATAATAAAATAATTTTAATTATAAAATAAAATAAATAATAATATTACCTGGTGATAAACTATTATCACTAGATGATGGACTATTATTATATAAATGTGAAAATCCAATTGATGGTGCTTCTCCACTTGTTGATTGTGTTCGACTTGAAGAATTATTTTCATTATTAGAATTAGTTGGTAAATTATTTGGTGATATTGATTGAGAATTAGTATTACTACCAATTTGATCAAGAATATTTTTTAATTCTTCAATTGCACGAAAAATAATAAGTTTAGAACGAATTAAACAAAGAAATTCTAATAAATTTGTTTTTAAATGTTGTTGCATTATTGTTGTTGAACATTGTGCAGTTTTTAAAATATTTTGATATTCTATTAATTGACCTTTTATATAAAAAAATAATCCAACCATATCATTACTCCTATCACATGCTGCAGCAACATCATTATATTGTCGTATTGGTTTTACTTTTGGTATATAAAGTATTGGACAATAGGAATCATCAGATTTAATTGGAGAAAATGTATAAAATACAAGTGGTGTTTCACGTGATGTTGGAATTGGTAATTGTTCACAAAATGTTTTTATTGACATTGGTTTTGTTTTTGAGATTGGATATGGTACACTAGAATAATTCGAAATTTTTTATTAAAAAAAATGTATATATTTCGATTCTAAGAACTTCTCACATCAGTGTTCAGACTTCCAAAAAAGAAAATTACGGAAATTTTGGAAGTGATACTTCTGAAAGCTTCGTTGCCTCGAAAAATTTTGGTGATTTCTTTAAACTTCCAAATTTTCAAGAATACTTTTCTATGAATTTACGTATTATTGGAAATTTCCGTAATTTCCTTTTTTTTTTTGGAAATCTGAACATACCTCGAAATAACTGATTTTCAAAATGATTTCATCTTATACAATATTGAAGAAAAAGATGTGCCCCTATCTCCTCTATCGATTGGTGAAAATCGCAGGTCTCTAGCTGATTACATTATCGAGTTATTCAAAAACAAAAAAACAGTGGAGCACATTATATTTTGAAATGGATAATAGGTTGAGAATTCAGTAAAACGATCTCGGTATATGAGAGATAAATCTAATTTGAGTTCAAACAGTTCAGATGATTCCTTCCTACTTGAAATTATAGTTCGTTTTAGAAAATAACATGGTTCAAACAATCAATTAAGAATAGTCTATAATAATACGTCAGAGTCGAATCAAACAACTTATTTATAAATTCTCATCTATTTTTGTCTTACTTTTGAAAAAGACAATAATATTCTTTATGATCTTCATCATTATCTTGTTGTTGTAATTTATCATATAATTTCGTTATTAATTCTATTGGTTCAAAATAACTACATGTTAATATAAAACGTTTTAAATTTAAATAATAAATTGGTATTAAATTAAATATACGATCAGTTTCTTTAAAAAATTCTGAAAATCTCATTAATTTATTTCGATCAGATTCAAGTAAACGTTGTAATAAATTTTCTAATTGTTGTTTTAAATCATTTGATAAACGACATGATTCTGGTAAAGTTTTTGACCATTGTATTTCTCCACCAAGAGTATTTTCAACACCTATTTTAATTCAAAACGAAAAAAATCTCACTTAAAAAGAAAACAAAACGTCTAATACCAGAAATACATCCTGTTGGTTTAGTTTCTAAAATACGTTTCATAACATTTCGATCTTTTCGTGTACCAGCAAATGGTTGAAATGGAAGTTCACCTTGAATAAGATAAAATTAAAAAAAAAATAAAAGAGGATATTACAAACCAGTTGCACATTGATAAAGAGTAACACCAAGTGACCATAAATCAACTTCAAATGGAAAATCAACACGAGTTTTTAAAGCTGTTCGTAAAGCATTTGTTTTATTATCATGTACAGCAGCTCTAAATCAAGAAAAATAAAAAAAGAAATTATCAAAACAAAACTGAAATTAGAATTCTTTTCAGACAACTAGAGTCCATCAGATTCAAAATTTTCGGATCCGGATCCAATGAACTCATATATATCTGATAAAATTACTTTTGCAATTCACATGGGATTTTCTTTTATCATTTCAATAAGTTATTAATAAAAAAAAAAACTTTGTTTTTTCTTTTACCGATATAATTCCGGATGAATATATTCTTCAGTACCAACAAGTGATGTAAATGCATTTTCACCTTCATTAATAAGTCTAGCAACACCTAAATCAGCTAATTTATATGTACGTTCACCATTTATATTAATTGAAAGCATTATATTATCTGGTTTAATATCACGATGAATCTAAATATTTTGTTTTTTTACGAAAAATCTTTTTTTTATAAAATCTTTTATTTTTCTTACTGTATTTTTCGTATGTAAATATTTCAATGCATTAGTTAAATGTTTAAAAACTAATATAAATTCATCTTCAATTAAACCATAACGATTTTCAGGTAATTCAAGTACATTATGTAAACTACCACCATTACAATATTCAATAAGTAAAGCTTCACGATTATTTATTAAATGTGATGAATCAAGCGATATAACAGGTTCTAATGCAATATAACGAACAATATTTTCATGATCAGTTGATTTAAGTATATCTAATTCATGATCTAATATAGGACGATAATCACGATTTGTTTTTCCATCTCCAAGTGGTGAACGAGAATTTGATGAAACTTGATAAACTTTAGCTGCAACTAATTCACCAGTTGATTTATTATATGCTTTATATACTTGTGATGTTGCACCATGTCCAAGTATATCTTGTGTAGCCCAAAGATGATTTGTTGTTTCTTCACACATAACTAAAGTAAATAGAAATAATTTGTATAATTTTTTTTTATGGATTCATTATTTACCGAGAAAGAGAGAGAGAGAATCAATTCTATGAGAAAAAAAAACAGAATGTTTCTTTACTCGGTAGTGAATAAGAAAAACTTTTTTTTCTTTTTTTGTCTTTTTTAAACATAGACAGATGTTTAGAGGCGGAGAACAAACATTCAATTGGTTAAATATATTTAGATAGATGTCCCTATTTTCACGAAAGATCGATTAAAGTATAGTATGCGAATCTCAATAAATTGATTTCAGTAGTAAAAATTTTTGATCAAATTTAGTCTTCAAAGAACTCGGAGTATTTTCGTCAGACATACACATGCAATGAAACTATACATAAATATTTCTTTATCCCGTCAAGTTTGTCTCGGGTCCGAAAATTTTGAATCCAACGGGCTGTAGTTGTAGCACTTCTATAGGCTGACAGAAGAACTTGTTGACATCCAAAATGATTGAATAGTAAATATTGCGTTCACGCTATTGAGCAATTTAATTGCCAAATGTCAATGTCCTTGTCTGTCTCTTCATTTTATGCCTAACTATATTATCATGATTACATTGATTCAAGCCTTTCTTGTATGAAAAATATTTATGATATATATCTCTTTGTTTTAATTTGTTATTTCGTACAAGAACTTGTTATCTTTATAGAAATAAATTAAATGAACAACTATAAATAGAATTATACACTAGTACATATTCGAAAAAAATCAGAAACATCAATCGATCTAGTTTGGTCTGCAGACATTCCGAACTAGATCAAAGCAGAAATAAGTGATCTGTTGGGAGGTCTAGAACTAATAAATACAATTTGTCATCCGATTGATAGATTTCAGCATTGCATTGCAATTTTTTTTTACAAATATCAATAGTTTTCGGCGACTAAGATTGTTTGCCTATTATATATTTTCAACAGTGAAATATCTGTTTCGTCATTCAAATTTTTGTTCCCAGTAGATTAGATCAGTAACTCTTCTTCCGAAAGTCACCATTGCTATATGTTGCAAACTTTGTGTATGTACAAAGAAGCACAAACTGTATTACATAATCTAAATGATATACAAAACTTGCACTCGGTTCACATCTTCATTTTTGAAAATGTTCATTCAAAAATTCTTGTGCAAAAAAAAAAGTTCAATAATTATTCTATTGAAATAACATCGTTCTATAATATGGAATATATTTCAATATCAATAATCATACACTTCAATAAACACACACATAGAAAGAGAGAGAGAGAGCACAGAAAATTCAAGAAAACACAAAAAACCAAGAATTAATAAATAAAATTCATTTGTTTTTTTTTATTTACAAAATATATCGATATATAAGTAAAGTTGACTAATTTATTTATTGAATAATTATTAAGCATTTTTAAGTTCAGATCCAATTTTATATGCTGTAATTTTAGTCCAATCAATTTTAGCTTTTGTTATTGGTAATTGACGACGTAATGCTTTAAATGTTGAATCAGACATAAGTTGATAATTTTCATTAACAGCTTGCTAAAATTAATATCAATATATAATCAAAATCAAAGAAAAATCTATTACTAAGCTCAATAAAATGAACTAGTCATGATTCAGATTTTGCTCAAACTTTTTTCATTGCAAAGGAACGACATATTTGAAATCAGTGTGAAATTCATTATTACAAAATTGCTCTGTGAGAATCGAAATTTCTATTTCTATATTTCAATATTTCTTTACATACTTGATAATTATTTTCTGCTTGACGTATAATTCGAATAATTTCTTTTGCTGTTATTATTTCATCCTATAAAAAAAAAAAAATTAATAAATAAAATCATATGAATAAAAAAAATCATACTTGAAGTTGAATGATTTCTGTAATATTTTTATTACTAACTAATTGAACATTACCATCTTCAAAATAATGTATCTTAAAAAAACAAACAAAAGAATTTTCAAAATGAATTTTTTTGTGTTTTTTATTAATCAAAATTTTATTTCTTTACTTGAACTTTTACATGTCCAATTAGTTCACATGTAAATTGACCTTTACTAAAAGTTAATGACCAATTTGATCGCCAACGTCCATTCCTATATAACAAATTATAAATCTTGAAATAAAATAAAATAAAAAATATACCAAAAATTTTTTGGTTCAAATTTATGACTTTCAATAAAAGTTGATAATGTAATTGTATCTGCATCACTTTCACCAATAACTATACAAGAACCATATGTATAATGTTCTTTAATATAATCTGTAAGTTGTTTTTCTAATGCTAAACGCCATGTTTCAGATTTTTCATCTGGTTGATAATGTTCATAATCAGATGATTCACGACGTAAATGATCAAATCTAAATTAATTTAGAATAAATGGAAATAAAATTTCCATTTCAAAAAAACAAACAACATACTTAAAAGTTTGTCTTGTACGTGGATCATAAAATCGACCATCACCTAAATCATTGCCATCGGTTATAAGACATTTGTATTCGGAATTTTGAATCTTCGTTGGAATATATTGATCTCGATTATATTCACTAAAAGCTCTAAAATTAAACAAAAAAGAAAATTGAAATTACCAGTATTCCTATCAAATTAGAGGTTTCGATCGCATAGTTTTTCGAGTAGAGAGCTGATCATTTTAAACTACTGATTATTGATTGACGAGTAAAACGGTCAATATAGAGACAGGTCTTAACAAGAATAGTTTATTGTAAAATTTTATGGTTTTTTTTATTTGCGTCTATTCTGAAATAATAGTATCGAATTTATCATTCTATATAAGTCATGTAAATGATACACTTTTGTCACAGTTGTATGTAGAACTGCCAGCTTCACACGACTCGAATGGAATATATAATTATTTCAAAAAAAGCAAGGGTACAAAATAAGGAATATAGCTGAAAAAAACTCATTTACTAATCATTTTCTTTATGCAACAAAATGATCTGTAACGTTTACAGGACTCTATTTTTATTTGTTTCGCGTACATTTGACCATTTCTAGTTGAGACTATACAAATAATGGAACTTTTAATACAGCAGTAACTGTATCAGTTATCATGGCATTGCAGCTTGGTATTTATTAGAGCTGGGGACAGGACAGAAAATATTGTCCTATGTCCAATTCTAGCATCCATGCATGATTCATATGATTGAATATGCCTTTTGCAAATGCATTCGAATAGAGAATTGAATAAATATTTGTGCTACGATCGATCACTATTATACAATATGTGTGTAGCCTCAGAATACTTAAGTGCAATAAACTAAAGGTATGCTCATAGTTTTACGTAGTCTTAGCTCAAAAAGTAATTTATCAATTGGAAGACTTCCTTTTTATAATATATAAATTACTTACTGTGAAATCGATCGTCGAACTAATGAATCATCATTTAGAAGCGTTCGTACATCTATAAAGAATTTTATATTTTTCCTTTTTGTAAATAAACTTAATGATTTAATTTACTAACCATTAAAAACTTCATTAAATTCACCCGGTGGTGCATGAGTAATAAAACGTCGTGCAATTGATGCTTTTTCTTCATCAGTTAATGTTTCATCCATAATTGAAAGTATTCTATCTGAAAAAGAAAAAGACTAGATTCTATTGATAAATATTATTTCAAATTGTATTAGATATTTAAAAATCAAATTTTTTTGTTTTTTATATTATCAAAATATATTCATTTATTCGAAATACATAGCTAATAAAATTTATTAATAAATATCGATAGATTTTCCTTTCGAAATTAATTTCAAATAAAATAATTCTTCTCTTTTTACAATATTAAATGTCTATTTATGATAATATACTTAAGATTTTATACGAACATATCAATATTACTTTCATAATTTTGATTGATTTTTTTTGTCTATAACAAAGATTATTTAAAAGCTTCTATCAATATTTTTGTCAAATTCATAATCTGAAATTTTGTTTGTTTATCAAACTATCTAATTTCAGCAGTAATATAAATCTAATTCCGTATTTAAACAATCAACCTTTTGTAAAATTACAAGCGAGTAAATAAATAATAATAATAGAAACATGATTCATTATGAACAATTATGTTCAAGTCAATGAACGAATGAAAAACAAGAGCCTAATGTAATATGATCTTGATTACTCTCTCCCTCTGTCGGAAGAAATATTTTCAATCTATTTTTTTGAATCTATATGAAATATAATTATCTAGAATGTATTAAAATTTTTTTCTCTATAAGAAATGATAATACAAAATTCCATTGAATTATTTTAATGATTTTTCTTATAAGGCTAAAACTGGAAGCACTATATGATGATCAAATGTCATATTATTTTAAGAAAAACAAAAAAACTGAAAATAACATTAAAAAATATTTTCTTTTTATTTCACACAAATTTTTGGCATGATATACTTTATAACAAAATTGAAGAAAAATTATGTCTTTATGAGTATACTAAGTTCAGAAGATGCACAAGAGTATCCTACTGACAACTGACTCAATGTACGAGTATCTTGAACTCAGTACTCGTACGAGAGATAATTAAATTCGGCGAATTAGAAGGTCATCAATCTTTAGATATGGTACTTGAGATTTCCAAAGTTTTGTTTCTTCTATTGTTATAATGGACAAAAACGATACCATGAAGGTCTTCAGCTTTTGTCATGTAAAAAAAAAATCATCAGTATAATGCAAAAGATCCATTCGTGCAAAAATATTAGAGAATTTGAGAACGTATGTTTAAAAAAAATGATTTAGGGTTTTATTTGTAGTAAAATACTCGATGTTACAATCATTTTTACTCATCTGGTGGTATATCTCAAAATACCATTTATTGAAGCTTTTTAAAGAATAAATTCTGAAAATATGAAAACTACAGAAACTGAATGTAGAATACGTTCAATTATTTTTTTCTTATAGGACTCACTACTTAAATAGAAATGCACATTCGTGATTGTGTCTGTAAATTCATTCAAATATTTTGTTTATTTTCTTTGCATGTGGTTTCATCAGACATATTTAAGTTGAAAAAAAAATAAAGATTGCAACGATAAGCATTGTTTTATTGCTTTTATCTTTTGTTTAATTGATGAAAATGAGACAAATATATATGAAGTTCTACAAACAATCTAGATGAGTCATCAATCGAAATAATCCAAATCAGCAAAAACAATATTCATCTGTTTTGTGTTTTTACAAAATTATTATTTGAAAATAAATTATTTTTTAGATAATTTAGTGTACGTATGTGGATAAAATGAATACCTACGCATAAAGAAAAGAGAGTCTAAACAACTCAATTTGACATGAAACCTGACAATATTATATCGATTATTCTCTGGTAAAATGTGACAGAACAAAAAAAAAATCGAATAAATAATGAAACAATAAGAAGATAATTGTTAATACTGAATTGTAATAGAATTGAACTTTTAAAACTAAAAATAAAAAGATTATAATTTATTAGTAGACCAATGAAGAAAATCATAATGATAAATATGCAAAAAAAACATTTGTATTGTTTTTCTATCTTCAGCTATGAGTGAATATAATTCTCGTATATTGAATTAACGTAAACACAGATGAAATAGTCTCTAATCAATATATTACTTTTCTTATATTGATCAGTCGCAAAATGAAAATAATGGTTCAGTAATGGATCATTACTAAAACAGTACCTTTAAGTAACGACTTATCAATAAAATAAAATAGATTTACATTTTTGATAACAGGATTGATGATATTCTAGTCGAAATAGTGTCAAGTAAAAATAAATTATTCTTATAAAATTCATTTTATAAACATTACTGACAAATTTTTGCATGTCATAAACAATATCTGAGTATTTTTACACTGATGTGTTTCTTATGAATTCGAATCATTGTATTAATCGATGAACTATTCATATTAATATAAATCAAATATATTTCTATTCTCAAATCAGAATAACGTTGACTGAGAATAATTTTTGGTATGGTATATTCCTAATGTGTATAATACAAAGTACGTGGATAAATGTTTACATACAGATATTCATTACTTCGAATGTCCGTTAAAACGATTCTGACAAGTAATCAAGAAGCGTAACTTCAATTCACGATAGAGCTACTCTTTTTTTCCGTTCCATTGTTATTCGATGTCGTTATTATAAAAGTTTTGAAAGTTTTCATTACTTTCATGTTCAAATATTGATGTTGTCTCTTCAATTTCCAGAAATTTAATAATAATTTTCGAAGAGAAAAAAAATCAAATTTCAATTCTTTATATATCAATCGTTAGAAAGAGTGTCAAAAACTGCTGTTGACAGTAAACATTCAAATACGAATAGTCATTAGCGGTCAAATCAGATATAGCGTAGAGATGTTCATACTTTCAAATGTCCAGTGAAAACACAAGATGTTTCTCTTGCTAACAAAGTAAAGATAACAGAAACTGATATGTCATATGTTATTTGTCTACTCCATGAAATATTATTTACGATGCGATATCGAAACGATGATATATATAGATCGAGCAACACTTTTTGATGAGTATGATTCGTCAAAACTGAATGAGATTATGTCATCATTAATAAAAATATCCATTGATTGTGCTATTGATCGTCCTTCCTCATTCATTTTCTCGTTATTTGTGCAGATTAATTGCTAATCTACTGGAAAAAAAAATAACTTCGCTGTTGAAAATTTAGCTAAAGACACGAATCTTTACTTCGATTATTTAGTATTGTTATCAAATATGTATTTGAAATCTATTCAAAACTTTTTTGAATGTGTTTTGATTAAAACCCTTAAGAGCCGAGTGTCTCTTTCAAGGGGTATTTAAATAATTGTAATCAAAGTCTGATAAAAACCAATATTTTTCTGGATTGATATGACTTTCGTGGCCATACCTAGACCAAAATGTAGTATTCAGGTGGCTGTCAGGCGTCGCAAATCACCTTTTAGAACTGATGACTTTTTTCAATAACTCCTTTCTTCCTTAAAGTTCTATCTATTCGGAAATGCGGCATACAGTGTAGTTTATTTTACGTTACACGCTTCAGCATATTATCAAGCTATTCAATGTCAGTGTTCTAGAATTTTTTAACCGATCTACTGACAGTTTGTGCCGTGACCAATAAAACATTCCTTGTGTGAGACATTCAGCCTCATAGAAGAATCAAAACAATGTATTTCTAACATGAAACTTGGCTCATACATAGTCCTAGTAGTGTTTAGGAAGTTCCAAAATTTTCAGGAACAACGGTTGTTTCTTTTGCGAGATACAGAATGTTAAAGTTTTTAGCAATTTTTAGCAAAATTTAGCTGATTTTTGGATTTTGAATATCTCAGCAAGAAAGCATCCATTCTAAGTGAAAATTTCGAAGCATATTAAGTATTATCAAAATTATCTAAAAGCAAAGTTTCAGATTGAAATTCCTATTTTTTTGGATTTTACAGGGATGGATATTCCTGTCAAAGGAGGTTGTGTAGGTTCAGAATAAGAGGAAGGTAATTATTTTTAACTATAGTACGAATATACTAAGGGTCCATAATCTCTGTTTTTCTAATTAGATTTTAATTTTTGTAAGCGGAAGCCATTTTGGCTCTTAAAGGTTAATGTGTACAATTTTGCAACAATAATATTTGACCTTGATACAAGTTGTAATTACTCCTACAAAAATTTATTAGCAAAAATACATTACAAAACAATTCTTTTTGATCTAGCTAAAAATGTACTTGATCTTATTCCTAATAGGTTATTGGTGAATGAATAATGAATTCTAAATAACTTTATTTTTCGTTAGAAAATAGATACATGCAATAGTCTGACATATTCTTATTAAGACATATCTATCAACACTTTATTTTGATAGTAATAATATTTAATCGAAAAATGCTATATTTGAAAAGTCAATCTGAATAATCGTGTTCTATACCAAGTTCTTCGGAAAGTCGTTCAATATTCGATTCCATCTTCCATATATTTCTATGCCCGGAAGGTAGACATTGTCTGTAGATAGATAATGCTTGTTGATAGTAATCAAGTGCCAACGTAGATATATGAAGATTTTCGTAAATCTCACCTATGTTTGATAAACTTTGACCAATGTCCTCATGATCTGGTCGAAGAACTTTGAGACGCATTAACAAACAATTCTGTTCATATATAAGAGAGAGTTCATACTGGCCTCTCGTTCTTTGTACCTGTGACAAACACTCAAATATGATAGCAATGGAAAGATCGTCTGAAGGTAGACTGACTTCTTTAATTAATAAACATCTTTCTAAATATTCAATAGCGACATCGAATTGAGACTTTCTATTGAAGTTAGCAGCAATCCAGTATAGGCAATCAGCAATTTCAATATAATCATTGGGATAATATTCTTTGAATATGGTTAATGCTTGTTGATAAAAGTCGAGAGATTCATCATATTTTGTTTGTTCCAATAGAGTATAACCAATATTCTTAAGATTAGTAGCAATTCTAAATTGATCACTAGACAAATTACTTTTGAGAACTTCCAATGCTTGTTTTTGAAGGACGAGAGCTTCATCATATTTGCTTTGTTCTTTTAAAGTTTGAGCTATGTTATTCAGACAAGTAGTAGTATTCAAATGATTGGATGAATCCTTCTTATAAAATGTCAGTGCTCGATAATAAAAATCGAGAGCTTCATCATATTTTTCTTGATTCCTCAATATGTAACCAATAGAACCCAAACAAGTAGCAAGATTTTCATGATTAGATGGATAATATTGTTCATAAATTGTCACTGCTCGTTGACAGAAATTGAGGGCTTTATCATACTTTCCTTGAATATTTAGAGTCATACCAATATTTACCAGAGTGTCAGCAATATCAATATGACCAGATGGGTAGCAGTTTTCAAGAATTTTTAGAGCTTGTTGATAACAGTCGAGTGCTAAATTGTATTCTTTTTGATCAAATCGAATGTGACCGATGCAATTCAAACTATCTGCAATTTTCTCATGACAAGAGGAAAATTTTTCTTCTCGAATTGTTAATGCTCTTTGTTGAAACTCAATAGCTTCTTTGTACTTTCCTTGTTTGCTCAGGATATCAGAAATATCGATGAGACAATTAATCATATTAACAGGATTTGATCGGCAACATTTTTCGTAGATTTCTAGCGCTCGTTGATAGAAGTTGAGAGCTTCATCATATTTTCTTTGTATAGTCGCAATATTAGCAATGTTGCTCAAACTATAAGCAATATTTACGTGATCAGAAGGATAATGGTGTTCTCGTATTATCAATGCTTGTTGTTGAAACTCGATAGCTTCATTGTACTTTCCCTGATTTTTAAGGACATTGGCAATGTTTATCAGGCTATTAGCAATGCCAACATGATTAGTTGTATCAAATTTCTCTTGAACTGTTAATGCTCGTTGATAAAAGTGAAGAGCTTCGTCATACTTTCTTTGTCCATATAAAGCATTTCCAATATTGCTAATAACGGTAGTGATTTCAGCATAACCATATGAATAAAATTTCTCTCGGACAACTAATGATCGTTGATAGAAATCAATGGTCAGTATGCTCTTCGCCGAAAGCCACATCGTCGAAATGCAGATCGCCGAAGTTCGGCGATCTGCATTTCGACAAAGTCCCATTTCGGCAATGTGACTATCGACTATCTGTATTTTCGGCGGTGTCACTGTCGGCGATATGGCGATCGGCAATTTTTATGCCAATGATTGAATCGAGCAGTTAATAACTAACTTAAGTGAGTGATACAATAAATTAGAAATCAAGTTAGGAATCAAGTTAGTCACCAACTTGATCAAGTTAGGGATCAAGTTAGTTACTGACTTGTTCAAGTTAGGGTTCCAGGTAGTTATTAACTTGCTCAAGTCAGTTACTGACTTGATCAAGTTAGTTACTGACTTGATCAAGTTAGTTACTGACTTGATCAAGTTAGTTACTGACTTGATCAGGTTAGTTACTGACTTGATCAAGTTAGTTACTGACTTGATCAAGTTAGTTACTGACTTGATCAAGTTAGTTACTGACTTGATCAAGTTAGTTACTGACTTGATCAGGTTAGTTACTGACTTGATCAAGTTAGTTACTGACTTGATCAAGTTAGTTACTGACTTGATCAGGTTAGTTACTGACTTGATCAAGTTAGTTACTGACTTGATCAAGTTAGTTACTGACTTGATCAAGTTAGTTACTGACTTGATCAAGTTAGTTACTGACTTGATCAAGTTAGTTACTGACTTGATCAAGTTAGTTACTGACTTGTTCAAGTTAGGGTTCCAGGTAGTTATTAAATTGCTCAAGTCAGTTACTGACTTGATCAAGTTAGTTACTGACTTGATCAAGGTAGTTACTGACTTGATCAAGGTAGTTACTGACTTGATCAAGTCAGTTACTAACTTGATCAAGTCAGTAACTAACTTGATCAAGTTAATTACAGACTTGTTCAAGTTAGGGTTCCAGATAGTTACTAACTTGCTCAAGTTAGGAATCAAGTCAGCTAATACCTTGATTAAGTTAGGAATCAAGTTAGTTACTAACTTGATCAAGTTAGGAACCAAGTTGACCATGTCAGCTACTGGCTTTACTTAGGAACCACGTTAAATTAGTCACTAACTTGATTCAGTGCTAACTTTAATAAGCTAGTAGATGATCGAAATGAATTCGGCGATCTGCATTTCGATGAACCTCTTATCGACAATCTGTATTTCGGTGATGTTGATTTCGGCGATCTTTCTTTTCGATAATGTTTGTTTCGGCGCGAGTTTCGGCGATGTTATTTTTCGGCGATATTGCTTTCGGCGATGAGGCATACAACCGAAATCAATAGCTTCATCATATTTCTCTTGGCTATATAGGACATTACCAATAAAGTTCAGACTCTTTGTGATGTCAACATGAGGAAATTCATAATGTTTTTCTTGAATAGCCAAGGCTTTTTGATGAAATTGAAGAGCTTCATCATACTTCTTTTGTTTATATAGAGTGTTACCAATGGAGGTGAAAGTATGAGAAATTTCGATGTAATTATCAGGATAGAAGTTCTCTTGTATTGAAAGTACACGTCGATAATAGTCAATTGCTGCATCATACTTTTCTTCATTGTACAGAACATGACCGATACTATTGATGGTATCAGCTATGAAGACACTGTCTGATGGATAATATTTCTCTTGAATTTCTAATGCTTTTTGATGATATTCAATCGCTTGATCGAATTTTTCTTGTTGACAAAATGTTGTGCCCATATTATTTAGAGTTGTTGCAATGTCCACATGATCATTTAAATAGTATTTCTCTTGAATTTCTAATGCTTTTTGATAATATTCAATCGCTTTATCAAATTTTTCTTGTTGACGAAGTATTGTGCCAATATTATTGAGGGTTGTTGCAATATCCACATGATCATTTACATAATATTTCTCTTGAATTTCTAATGCTTTTTGATGATATTCACTCGCTTGATCGAATTTTTCTTGTTGATGAAATATTGCGCCAATAAAAATGAAGGTTATCGCAATGCTTACATGGCCATTTGGATAGTATTTCTCTTGAATTTCTAATGCTTTTTGATAATATTCCATTGCTTTATTGAATTTTTGTTATTGATGAAATATTGTGCCAATAAATATAAGAGTTATGGCAGTGTTTACATGACCATTTGGATAACACTTCTCTTGTAGTTCGAGCGCTCGCTGTTGGAAATTAATAGCCTCATTGCATTTTCCTTGCATATTTAGGATGTTGCCAATATTGTTGAGACTTAAGGCCATTGAGACATTACCCGAAGGACAATAGCTCTCTTGCATCGTTAGCGCTTGTTGACAATAACCTAGAGCTTCATCAAATTTTGATTGACTAAGTAGTACACTAGAGATGTAATTCAGAGTGTCAGCGATGTTCGCATAATAAGATGGATAATATTTCTCTTGCATTGCTAATGCTCGTCGATGAAAATCAAGAGCTTCATCATACTTTCCTTGTTCCTTTTGTATATAGCCAATATTGTTTAGAGTAGTAATAATGTCGTTGTGACCAGAAAAATAATATTTCTGTTCAATTTTCAGTGCTTGTTCATGAAACTCCAGAGCTTTTTCATATTTTCCTTGTCCATAGTGAATATTTCCTATTCCACCAAGACTATCAGCTATATCGACATGACCAGATGGATAATACTTTTGTTGTATTACCAATGCTTGTTTATAAATCTTCAAAGCTTCATCATGCTTGCCTTCGAGATAGAGAATATAACCAATGTGGTTGAGGGTGGAGGCAATGTTTACATGACTATTTGGATAATATTTTGTATAGATTGATGTCGCTCGTTGATAGAAATCGAGAGCTTCATCATACTTTGCTTGATATATAAGAACCTGACCAATATAGGCAAGACTAAGAGCAATATCGACGTGAGGAAATTGATAATATTCTTCGAGCATTGCTAGTGCTTGTTTATGAAAGATAAGTGCTTCATCATACTTGGCTTGTCGAAAGAGGATTTTGCCGAAGCTACGAAGACTTGTAGCAATAGGCACGTGACCATCCAGGTTAGTCTCACTCAGTTGTAACCAACTGGTTTCTTGTAAGTTTCGGCATATTTTCTGTAACAGAGTTCTACTCGACTGTTCATCTATAGACTCCATTCTATTTGCCGTATTTTTCGAACGGAACCAACGAGAAGTTTCTAAGCGTTTTCTAGTCCAAAGCTGTTGAGAACATGATTGAAATAATCCACCTGAATTCAATAAAATCGATCGGAACAACACGCGAATACGACTCAGCACATTGCTGCGTTGGCGATTCCGTGAACTGGACCTATTGACTTTGGTAGAAGAATAATGTTTCTTTCGCATTGCCAATGCTCGTTCATAATAATCACACGCTTCTTCATACTTTCCTTCTAGATAGAAAATCTCACCAATATTGAAGAGTATATCAGCGAAGTCATTGAGCCGTATTGGCTTTACATTCATCACTCGTTCATAAGCACGATCATAATACTTCCGTGCTTCACTCCATTCTCCTTTCCACTGAAGAACTTCACCAAGACTAGATTCAATTTTTGCAAGATCTTCATTGTTGTTATTCGAGTTGTTCAATAAATGTTGAAAGAAGTGTTGTGATTGATCCCATTGACCCATATCACACATCAATCTTCCAAAGAGAATTCCGATGCTTAGATCTTTCATTTGGCGATTTGAGTCTTTAATATATTTTTCTTTGATAATTTGACCTTCATTTGAGGCATTCATTTTAATTAACCACATGTCTTTTTCCATTCTGACACTCTCCAATCGAAAAGTGGCATTTGAATCGAAGAGAATTTCTTGTTGTTCTTCAGATGGAATTTCATTGAATTGAATAATATCAGCAACAATGACATTCTTGCTAATATGTTGTGGATAGCATTGAATTTCTAGGAGAACAGAAATGAGATCAGTTTGTTTCGACGATATCATTGTTTGTCTTAATGCAGTTGAACGAAAAATAGTTGTTGTGAAAAATCCATTGATTGAAATCAGTTTACCTTCATTTTCTTTGAATTTTTCGATTTGATTACTCGTTAATTTCATTCCTCGATAGGTGAATAGTATTTTTTTATCAGACTGAATCATCTTTTGATGTTCCCGAATGAGACTTTCTGTAAGATCTTTCATAAAATATCGAAATGTGTAGAGTTGATTGAAATCTTTAGTTCTTAATGCTTTTTTAATCATTTTGTAGAGAAATGATTTTTTCAAATACCAATGAAGAGCTTCTTTTGATCGATATTCATTTGCAAACTTCTCAATCATCTCTAACTCTTTGATATTATCTTGATAATAGGAACGACATGCATCGATCATTTCTTGTTTAGCTTTTTCATCATGTGTTAATTGAAATAGAACATCATGATAAAGTTGAAACCAAAGAAGATCAGCAGTTTGTTTTGATAGATCTTTTGTTAAGTGTTCATCTTGATTGAAGAAATTGAATGTTTGTAAATGTTGATTGAAAAAATCGACTTGTTCTTGAATTGATAAACATAATAAATCGAGTTCATCATAGATACCAATAAGTTTTGAATGTTCAAAAGTGAAATGTTCACGATCACCTTTTTTCCAATTGAAGACAAAGATGTTGTCAATTTGAGAGGGAGTAGCAATATGAGATAATATTTGTGATGCATCATAAATTGAAGAGATGAAAAAAATTTTTTCATTATGAATCGATTCAATGAAATTAATGCAAGGTTCAAGTTGAGTGTGAAATACAATATAATCATTGATTTGATGTAGTTGTTTCTTCGTTTGTTCTACATGATCATTTGAATCCATTTTTGAATCGAACCAAACTAGAGTGATGTCCTCTTTATTGTTAGTTCTGTCCATCATTTCTAATAAATTTTCTAGAATAATAAAATGTGTTGCAATAGATGGTGAAAACAATTGACTTTAAATTTTGCAGTAATGAAGAAAACCGTAAATTTTCACGATACAAGAAATGTGTGAATGTTTAGGTTACGTCTCATGCCATCGGCATCGGTTTGTTCTATTGTATTCCGAATGGTTTCCGACTCGAAACATTCTGTCATATTGATAACTTAGTAGTTCTAGTCGGGAAAAAATTGACCGAAGTAGAGAATAATCGGTGGAATTCGTTTTCAAGGAACTTATTGTTGCTGAGTTTTCAAGAAAGATCTAGGTGATCGTTCATTTTGCGATACATGTTCCGAGAAGAAAGAAGAAAAAGTCTCACTCATGCTCTTGAATATTTCATCACCATGATAAAGTCACATATTAGAGAAGTGTTTAGATAGTTTGAGAATATCTAATCAATTTTCTAAAAACTTTATTTTATATTAATGGTGATATATTCAAGAAAATAAAAGGAAATATTTTTCTTCAAGGATATGTATTTGAAAAACAAAAATTAAGAAGGACAAGTCTGGAAGTACAATAATCAGAGACTCAAGCATTTTGGACAATTATTCCTAGCATTTCTATGACACTTAGTATTTCAATACAAATATTAGCGAGTTATTAAAGTCAATCTAATTCTTAAAAATAGTAGTAGATAAGGCTTGCCTAAGATGTCGAAATGTACAGGATTAGGGTCGAAAAAAAATATTGATTCTTGCTCATATAATTATAAGTTAGCAAAGAAGAAAGAAGCAATTCCTGTCGTCTCTTCATATGACTCCATTTACCATTTAAAATGAGACTAGTAGAATGAGTAATGATATTTAAATATGTGCATTGATCGATTTTGTGACGCATACATCATTGAAAGGAAGTGACTGTTTTTTTTTTCAATTTCGATGTGTTTATGTATATAAAGGAAGTATCTTTTCTATCGTAACGTGAATAGACTATGTAGTAGGGAGACCTCGTGCTATTGATTTTATTCTGTTCTTGTGCAATATCAATACTCTCTCCTTTTCTTACTCATTTTCCACCTTTATGCATATGATAGTCTCCTTTAAGCGTATAACGATGCATGTTTGTGAACAATAAATTTCTTATGCAAATTTTATAAAAACAAATTGAGAGGTTTCAAGTTTGACTAACCAATTAGATGGAAAATTAGTAGAATTAGTATCAACTACTTGGAAGGATGCTGATTATCATTCATTGACATCATTGTTAAAGAGTATACGAATTTCATGCATGTACGAAATGTTTTCGATTCTATTTTCATAAAAGAGATATATTGCACATTAACTGTAAACGAATTTGTGAACTAAATCGTGTAATTTGAATTAAATTGAAGAGTGAACAATAATTCATGTCTAATCAATTTTATGATCTAATATTCGAGTTTATAATTAAAAGAAAGACCAGAAAAGTATGTGAAAATAACTGCAACGAAGCTCA